AGGAGGGGGGGGAAAAACCACCCCCCCCTCCCCAGCCACTGGGGCAGTGGTAGGGAGAGGAGGGGTTTCTCCTGTCTGACGGCTCCACGGGTTCGCTCATGCCACTTTTCAAGCCCTGCACAGGAAATAGGGTCCTAACTTCTTTGCTTCTTCCCCAAGCCTGCTCAGGCCCCTTCAGCACCATGCCCTGCTTTCCCAGGGATCCTTCAGTTTCCCACCTCTCAGCTCCTCAGCCCATTTTGGCCTTCCTCAGCCTATAGCCCTTCTTCTCCTGTCTGACGGCTCCACGGGTTCGCTCATGCCACTTTTCAAGCCCTGCACAGGAAATAGGGTCCTAACTTCTTTGCTTCTTCCCCAAGCCTGCTCAGGCCCCTTCAGCACCATGCCCTGCTTTCCCAGGGATCCTTCAGTTTCCCACCTCTCAGCTCCTCAGCCCATTTTGGCCTTCCTCAGCCTATAGCCCTTCTGCTCCTCTTCAGTTCCTCCCTCAGCTGCTCTCTCCCTGGGGCTTTTCTTCCACTTGACCATCCTAGCCATCTTCCACCTGTAGCGTGGAGCTTCATCTGGCACTTTCCATCCATTCTGCCCTTCCTCCAATCTTCCCGTCACCACCTGACTACCGGACCACCTCCCACTATAACCAGCCAGGCCCATTGACCTAGGAGGGGGAAGGAGGCAACTGTCCCAATGCCCAAAGGGGTCTTGGGGCCCCGTCCCTTTAATTTGCTGTCGGAGCCCAGCATGGCACACTGAAGACCCCTAGGTGGTCTGTCCAGACAGTGCTGAGGGAGAGGGAATGGTGTGGTCTGGGTGGCACTGTGGACCAGCTGTCCTCCCTTCCTCCCAAAACCCCACCCCTTCCAGAAGCATTGAGCCACCGTCCTCCCACCTTGCCTAATGGAACAACACATCTGTTGGCTCACGTGTACCCAACCCTTCTGTCATCTCCTGGCTGCTGCTCCACTCCTATTCACTTCCCTCTATCCCTCTTTCTAGTTGCCACTTCGGCACCCCTTTCTCCTGGTCCAATTGCCCTCTGTTTAATGCATCCAATCCCATTGGCTTCATAGAGTTTGTTCCTGTGGAGAAGAATTTTACCCATACACTTATTTAAAGCTACAGATTAACTGATTTTGCTGACGACTAAGGAAAAGTGAACGTGCTTGGGCTGTAGTTATCTCATGTAAACATTTGCAATGAAAAACCAGTGCACTGTCTTTGCAGCTTCACAGGCACAAAGTGCTATGATCAGTTGCTAAACTATAGATATGAAAACGACATAAGCAAAATAATTATTGTGTGCAAATTAACTCAATGTGGTTATTACAACACAGGTACACCAGGTAATTGTATTATACTCCCTCACACATACAGGACAGGATCATCATTAAGGCTTTGATTATGTCATGAAGTCATGGAATCTGTGACTTCTTGACCTCCATGGCATTTTTTGACCCTCGGCTGGGGCTGTCAGCAGGCAGCCCTGTGCTGCATTTCTCTGCCCCTGCTGGCAGCAGGCCCTCAGCAGCTCCTTAATTCTGGGCAGCCGGGGCACCCCACAGCTCTGAGCCACCACAGGTGGCGGAGGACGCCTAACAACTCCAGCCACTATAGGTGAGAAGGGGACTCTCTATGGACTGCGGGGCTCCCTGCAGCTGCTCAGCAATGGCGGGGAAGGAGGGAACCCCACAGTCAGAGCTGTCCTGTCCATAAGCTGGTTCGGAGCGGCCACCCTGGCCCCGTGATGTGAGGAGGCCTCGCAGTGGCCACTTCAACCATCCTATGGATGGGTATGGCATGGGGAAATAGCAGGGCTCACCTACCTTCCTGTATTCAGTGGGGTGGCAGGAGCAGGCTTGGCTCCATGGCAGCAGGAAGCAGAAAGCATCTCCGCCAGGGCACTCTGCTTCCCACCACCGCAGAGAGGTGAAGCACAGCAGGCCATGAGGGCGGCGGGGCACAGTGGAACTCAGCTGGCAGCCAGGCCGCTCTGGCTCTCACGGCCTGGGGAATGTGGAGGGGAGGGAGGTGACCCCTGCTGTCACCCCGCACCTGGCCTCTAGTAATCTCCAGGCTTGGGGGAGGGCCAAGGAGGTGGAGCAAGGGTGGAAAGGGGAATGTCAGGGACAGAGCAGGGGCTTAAGGGAAGGAGTAAAGCGGGAGTGGGGAGAGGTGGAGCAGAAGCAGGGCCAGCAGGGGGGTTTCCCCTATGTCTGGAGCACTGGGGGGATTGCCTATGCTTCCCTCGGGACAGCCCTCCTGTGGTAAGGAGTTCCACAGGTTGACTATGTGCTGTATGAAGAAGAACTTTCACTTATTAGTATTAAACCTGCTGCCCATCAATTTCATTTGGTGTCCTCTAGTCCTTCTGTTATGGGAACTAATGAAGAACTTTTCTTTATTCACCCTCTCCACACCACTCATGATTTTAT